GTCATTTAAGTTTATCTTAAAGATTTTAGGGAAACTGATGTCATGTGCTCTTTGGTTTTAGGACCATGAGTAAAGATTTCAGCCTTGCATCTGAATAACTTCTGAAAATACTTGCCAAAGGAGAATCACTTATCTGTACTCCAATACACAAAATGTTCCACTGGCAAAATTAAAGACAGGGACGTAGAGACTTGATAACTGCCTAGAATTTAAGGAAAATAGTTCAAACTGGTTAGAATCTCCTTTAATGAAAATACAATGTTGAGGTCTATGGTTCAGATATAAAACACTTCCAAATATTTTGCCTGAATACTTCAAAGTCTGTTATTTCCCTTAAAAAAAGCAAAGCAATACCACTGCCATTTCCAAATCCACCACAGAAAAAAAGTCACAAAGCAACTTACTTTTATCCAAGCCTCCTAAAGCAGAAAATAGTCATATCCTAGCAAAAGCCAGGTAAATATGGAAAGAGATGATTTTCCAGCAGCTCTGGTCAATAGGTAAATAATTTTCTTTCAGCTTTGAAGCGATTTCATGGTTCCTTCGAGTACAGAAGGGAGATGGATGACATCCAGCGGGAGTGTTTTGCCTTAAATGGGGAGAAACCAAGGAAGCCCTGGCAACTATTCACTGATCGTGGTGTGAGATGGCAGCTCGTTACTGTCATTGTGATGACTATGGGCCAACAGCTCAGTGGCATCAATGCTGTAAGATTTAATATATACAAACACCTTAATTACTTCCATCTGTTTTTCAACATTTTATTAACAAGAAGTAGCCAAACAGAGAAGCTCAGAAATGGGATAAGTGAGAAAAAATGTGTTGTCTTTTTTCAATGTTGATTTTTAAAAATTTTTCCTCCTTGTATAAATTTATTTGAAGAATGACTTCATGCTTGCGTTTACATCTTCATCTCCTTTTACTGGAAAAGTAAAGGTGGATGAGCATGTCCCATTGTGTCTGGTTTAAGAATGTGAAGTATTATATTCAGTAAGTTGAATATTTATTTACTTTCATGATAGTAATCTATTTACCTAGACATGAATTTAACAGTGTATATCAAGTTAATAACTCACGATATAAATAGAGCTGTATGTTTAGTATGAGTTTGACTTTGTTTGCAGCTGTTGATTTAACTAGTGGGAATGTCCCTTTTTTTTTCTGTTGAAGATTTATTTCTATGCAACTTACATTTTTGAACAAGCTGGGATCTCAGCAGAAAAGATCCCCTATGTGACACTGGGCACTGGAGCTTGTGAATGCCTCACAGCCCTCACCTGTGTAAGTAAAGGCTTTTTCCACCTCCTAGCATGGAGAGTAGTGAGTCCTCTTGAAGAAGGAACATTGGTAAAGAGGAGAGCAGTTCAGTAACAGAAAATGGTGTCTTGTTCACAGGGTTTACTGATAGACTATGTGGGAAGAAGATACCTGATCATCGGGGGTTATCTCCTTATGACCATTTGGAGCATTGTTTTAACTCTCTCTCTGACTTACCAGGTATGAAGAAGGACTCGTGTACTTTATATCACTATAGTGAGTGAAAGTCTGTGACACTCAAAAGCTGTAAAGTAAGAGCTGCATAGGTTTAAACTGCAGCATAAAAAATGACAGCAATTGAAAGATGTGATAAATTCTGCAGCCTAAAACACAAGAACACTTTCAGCCAAGATTTGATCATTTACTTGTCTTAAAGCTGCAGCTGCATTTAATGCTGATAAAACTAGATGGTGATAAACAGGCTTTATCTTAACTTTAAATTTTAGGATGAAATATTACACAGTGGTGATATTAAGCATCAGCATTAATTAATGCTTAAGTCAGTTAATTTTAAAGCAGACAATCTAAACAAAAAATACTGTAAAGATGCTGAAATTCAAAGAACACTTAAATCCATTCAGTGTAAATTCACAAAAACTACTGGAAACTCATTAGAGATATTCACAGTGCCTTAAATTTATCATGTGGAGACAACATACTGCCTTCCTTTTTGATGTAGTATGAAGAGGCGTGTTGTAAATTGTTCTGTACATGGTATCAGCTCAAATAAGGCAGCCCTACAAATGTCCCGGAATAAACATTTGGTGGAAGTCCAGCTTTGTATTGGCAGACTGTCCTGAATATTGATTGTTCCCTCTGGGTAATCCAGGGAAGATGTGGGTGCAGCTCCAAGAGCAGGCAACTCAATTTGGTCAGTGTTTGATTGCCTGGTTAGTGCTTTCCTGACAAAGGCAGGATTAAGGAGCTGCCAGTCTTTGCCTGTCCACACCATCAGTGTTTGGAGCTGACTTTAAACAGCTGGATCAGGTGCAGTGACCTGGCATTGATGTTTGGAGGGACAGCAGGGTGGAGACTGCACAGATGGGCAGGCAGCCACAGAAGAGGCACCTGCAGCAATTTGTGTAGTTGGAGTAAAGGAAGCTGCTAGGCCAGGCAAAAAGTTGAATGAGCAAGCTTGTAGGCAGAGGCCTAAGTTTGATTCTCTTATTGTATCTTTTGTAAATGTCTTGGTTTGCTATTGAATAATGGAATTTCATGCTTAGGTTTGCACCCAGCTTCATTTGTATGTAGTAATCATAATCTTTCTTCACTGCACTATTGTTCTATGTACATAAATAATGTGAAGTCTGTTCATGCTATGAGTGCTTAATGACAGCTAACTCATGGCATCAGTATAAAATACCAAAATAAATACTGACAAAATGTTAAACTAGTAACAACACAATTGTTATATTCAATATTGGTGTAAATTTTTAGCCTCGGAGGACTAATTACAGATCTCAGCAGAAGTACTAGACTACATTTAGTAAAAATTATTAAACAATATTTAATTTCTCCAAAGCAATGCTGTTAAAAAATTAGCTGAAACAATAATAAATTACTGTTGGTCTTAATTGCAATCAAATAGCAAAAGGAAATGCCACATTTCAGCCAAACTTTAAAAATTATCAAAATCTGAACTAAACCCTCTCATTCTTTTATGTTCCAGGAGCTGTACCCATGGGTGCCTTACATCAGCATGGCTTCTATTTTTGCCTTCATCCTGAGCTTTGGGTTGGGACCAGGTACTGCAAAGCAGCGAGTTCTGGAGGGTGAACCTGTGTCTGGGGGAAGAGGCAGCTCTGCTGTGCAGCCCCTGGTGGCTGCCAGGCTGCTGCTTCACTCTCCCATAGCCTGAAACTGAGCACCAAAATGTTCCTGGCACTGGAACTGCAGCAAATGGCCTTTTGGCACAATAACATGTTTCTGAAACTCCTTTCCCCAGGTGGCATAACGAATACCCTGACAGCTGAATTATTTATACAGTCTTCACGTCCTGCTGCTTACATGATAGGAGGGACTATTAGTTGGATTAGTTTCTTCACAATTGGAATGCTCTTTCCCTTTATTGTGGTAAGTATTCTCCTAATTGCCATTTAATCTTCTCTCCTGTTCCATCAAATTGCTTTTTCTTACACTTACACACAGGATGCACTCTACCCCTCAACTGAATATATAACTAGATTCAGTCCTTCTTAAAATATGTGTGAATGGAAACAAAAAGCTATTTTCCCAAACCCACTGTTGCACTTGGAATATGTTGCAATCAAATACATTTTATTTTCAGAATGGACTGAAGCAGTATTGTTTTCTGGTGTTCTTACTGGAGTGCTTCTTAGTTGCTGCTTTCATCTTTGTGGTAATTCCCGAGACAAAAAACAGATCCTTTCTGGACATCAAAAAGGATTTTGACAAGCTGAATTTTGGAAAAAAAAACAAAAAGAAGGCAACGGAGCTTTCTGAAAGAAGACAACTCCATGACGAATTTTTAAAAAGTTCTGTGTAATTTCACATCAGTAGCAGAACTTCCATGAGAATTATGATCAGTATCTTCTAAATTAGCAGTGTAATATCACTAACAAGTAGCTTATTAAATCTTCCTATGTATTTAGACGAAGTTTAATTAAAGGCAAGTTAATCTTTCTGCAGCAGTGTCAATACCTCTATTGCTGAAATGCTAATAAAAACATTATATATACATAGACTGAATGTTTAGATACTACTTGATGTTGTAGGGATGCAGAAATGTCATGAAGTTGAATCTCTCCCCTGGCAGATTTCTTAGGATAGTTCAGTTGCTTTTCTTTTATTTCTAAGACCCTTCTTCAGACTCAGGTAATCAAGCATATGTTACTGCTTTACTGAATAAAATATTTTGAGGTGGTAAACAGGAATTGACCTACTGAGAAACCAATATTCAAAATATTCTAGTTTCTATCAGCTGGGGTATTTAGATGCCACTTTTCACTTAACTCCTTTGAAAGATTTAAGGACACTGCTCATCTAGTCCTACTAGTGTAACTGTATAAAGACAGTACAGCACCTACCTGAATTAACATTGTAAAAACTTGCTTACTAAAAGGGTACAAATAAAACAGTTTCTGAAGTTTGCATTTGGGTTTATTTTTTGCCCTAACCTAGTATCTTAACATTTTAACCTGTGCAACAGGGTAAAACTTCCTCTGGTTTTCAAGGTCAGTTCCTGGCAGACTGAGATCAACATGACAAACAGCAGAAAGGACAGAGGGTAGGAACTGAACACCTTTCACCTTTAAAGATCCTTCCATCCAGGGAGACTACAGGGCTTGGAGAACTGACTGATCTTTCTGTCTCATCTCTAACATTTAACTCAGGGCTCTTTCTTAACTTTAAATTCTTTCTATTTTAGTAGTCAGAAATTAAGTAGTCTTAAATACATGTGGTGTCTGTGTGCCTGTCACATACCTGGGACTGTCAGGACAGCAGTTCTTCCTTACCTACTACAGCTAAGCATTCCCAGACTCCCATCTGCTACTTCCTAAGTGATACAGTAAGCACTGCATTTCTTTTATGCTTCTCTTCCTTCTCAGAATTAAAGCTTTTAACAAAAATGTAGGAAGCAAACACCATTTTCCCCATTTTGTTAACTACATCAGCTATTTAATTTAAAATACCATTAACTCTTACTGGTAAAGGAGGCAGTATCAGGAAGGCATCTTCTTATTCTTTAGTTTATCCTCTAAGTTTGCAAAATATTTCATTTTGGCTAGAAGCTTCTTAGCTTCTTGAAGATCATCTGAAACAAAACATTACAGAGGGAAGGCTGAATTTTCATTTTGAAAATGAGTCTTAAGATCTCAATGGCAGCACCTGTTTCAGTATCAAGATGTAAAAATGTACAATTTAGAAATGTGACATGAATAACCTTCAATGACTATTCTGTGGAGTGGCCATAGCATTGATGTAGCCACTAGGGAATTTTAAGTATATAGACAAGAAAAACTTGGTTTTATGTTTGTAATTAGATCAACTGCCATCACTGAGAATAGCAGAATATTTTAGGACTTCAGTACAGACAGTGTCAAATCAAAACTTGCTATGGAAACAGTTTCTTTAATTAAACAATTGGAGTGGAAAGGTTGTTTATCCCCTACTAACAAGGACAGATGCAATTTAATCCTTAACTCTTAGTACAAAGAGTGACAGATGCTAAGGTGTTAATTCTTCACCTGCAGGCCTTGCCAGCACTGCTTTGAGTTGGATGTTTTACAATTACAACACATTACTATATAAACCTAAAAAGCAAAGCATTCCAAGACCCAGGAAAGAAATGTAAAGGGTTCTTCCCAGAGTAAGAAGCCAGTCTGGAATGGTTCCTGCTCCCCCCTACTAATTGGTTGTGGAATAAAGTTACTGATGAAAGTTATTGATGATTGCACAGTCCCTAAAACTTGAGGCTAAACAGGGCATCGGGTCTTTTCCTACCCCACAGTGTCTGTGGTGAGTAGCAGAACTGCTTCTGTCTGGATGGTCACTACAAAGAGCTGCTCCTCTAATGGCAGCTTTGAGTGCAGAGCAAAATCTCCCAAATTCAAGTTTGACCCCTTGGAAGTGGTGGTAGGTTTGATTAAGAAAAGAGTCTGTCTTCCCAGTATTCTGCAAAACAATAAATTATTAGCATCTGCATTCCCACCTGAAGTGATCCTTTTGATGCAACTGGACTATCTAACTTTTCTATTGGATTATTTTTTTTTTTTAAATTTAAAGTGAGGCCCTGAATTTCCTGAATCAGCAGACAGGTAAGCTTAGAAGTACTTATTTGTAATACCAAAAAACCCCCACTCATTTATGCAGTATTTCTGTTCTGTACTTCAGGAAATATTTGCGAGTAAGAAAATGTGTTTTTTTAAGCATTAGTAACTGACACAAATGGCAGAAACAGCTACCTCTTTCAAAAGCTGCAGTCACCTCTTTGGTCAGTTCTTCTTGTTTAACTGTAAAACAAATAATTCACAATTTGTTACATTCTTAGTGTATTTAGTACCACTGCATTCTGATTGTCTGTGGTGGGAAACAATTATTAGTCTTACAGTCTTTTGGGAGCTGAGAGAACTTTCTATAACAGGGCTTCATTTTCTTAATATTATAATTTCAAACAGATGTATTTCTGTGAACAGGTTTACAGCAATTCCAATGCAGATCAATGATCATTAACTTCTAACTTACTTTTGGTGTACCAGTTTACCCTCTACAGCTAACTTTCTTCTACTTATCTTTTACTCTAGTTATTCTAATTGCTTTTGGCACACTGGTGTTATTGCAAATAATTAAATGTACCAATCAACTCAATGTTTTGGGTATCACCAACAATCTAAGCAAGAAACTTGCTTGTATAAGGATAATAGCAACATAATGGTTGCTAAGTTGAAGAAGGTGAAAGAAATACAATGTCTGTATAAATTAAGAAATTATTTAATGTGGTCAGTCACGCATTTTATTAAGCTTAATTTTGAGTGGTTCTTCCTTTTAAGACAGCCTATTTGTCCTGATCTGCCAAAGGTTGAATAAGAAGTTCCTCTTGTAGACAATGTATATCTCTATATAGATCAAGTTATACAGATTTTCTCATGACTTACTTGGTGTTTAGGTGGCATAAGTTGGTAAAGACAACTTTTTTTGAAAGTCAATTAAGAAGGGATACAAGTTCAAGATACTAAAAAGTATCTTGAAAAAGCCTTCAGAAAGACTCATATTATGCAAGTTACAGTAAATTAGTTCTGTACAAAACTCTTAAATCATAACCTACCTTTAATTAAAGTTTCAGTTTCTTCAAGAATATCCTCGGTTTTAGACTCTGCTAATTTCTCGTTAATTTCCATTATTTCCGTGAGAAACTCTGTGTCTGCATCACAGTCTGTCTCTTGTACTGGCTCTACTCCCTTCAGCTCCAGCTGGTGAAGAAAACGGGAATTTGGAAATACACTTTCAGTGTGATTTGCTTGAATATTAAGTCTTTTAGTGGTGCTCATTCAGCTTCATAGCTGATAAACTTCTGCTTTATTCCATGACCACAGAACTCAGGAGTTAACCAAATAAAAACACATAGCCAAGGCTGCCAGGGGCCAGACTGAAATTTGCAAGGACCAGCCATGTGTGGCCAAGCAAGCACACCTTGTGATGCAGCAAACAAACGAGTGAGTAGCAGATGAGATGGTAATAATCAGTAAGATGTTAAAAAAACAGAGGAAAAGCTGACCAATTTTTGGACAAGTTAGTTTTTAGTTTCCCTTCTATCCCTGCTAATCCTCTTCTTCAGAAGAACATAAATGAGCATGTTAATAATAGAGTCACGTCTGTTTCCTGACACGACCTCCAGCAGCCCCAGCCGCGGGTGATGAGTGACAGGAGCACAGACACAGCCCGTACTGGGCACCTTACAAGATAGAGGCCGCGGCTCAGAGGGTTCAGGAGGGTCTGGTAGGCCTTGTTGATCAAGGAAGAGTGTTGCTCAGAGTAGTGCTGCTCCTTCTGTGGAAGGATGAAAAATAACAGTAACAAGTGGCAAAATACACGGCATTTGGTAACCTGAAACCCGCCTTCCCCAGCAGCTCAGGTGCGTCAGGCCCAAAGCTGCGGGGCGCGCTGGGGTCCCGGGGCCGCCCCTGAAACCCCAGAGCAGGGAGCGGCGGGAACCCCCCCCC